CTTCACTCTAATTGCCTTACTCCTCTAACTATCTGTCACAGTGTGGTGTCCCCTGAAACTGCTCCAGCTTGTCATAAATCAGAAAGCATTCAGCCCTGCTTCCACCAGTGCCAGGACAAGTTGTATATTCACTGAGTGTCGGAGTCCTGCTCCAGTGGGTCCAGGGGTCCCCGAAGGATGAATGGCTTCGGCGAGTGAGGACATAGACACTAGCAGATATGCTAAACTGGCCATCGATTGACAGAAACTTCAAGCATTATAAAGGGGATTGGTTACATAAAGTCATCATAAAATCATCATAAAGCATGTGTCATTAGGTATTTTATGGCATAATCTACTTCTTGGAATGTTCCCCTGCTTTTCCAACCACGAAAGGTCTCATGGTTTTTTCCTCAAGATTTTTCTGCTGTTTTTTTACTTTTAGATTCTAATCTCAAGTGAAATTTCTACAAGGCAACACAATGTCTTCTAAATGTGTCTTAAACTTGCTTAACCATTGCAGGATCATGTTTTTTCTATAGTTCCCTGAAACCATTTATGGTAGAATGAGCAGCACTCATTCTGTTATCTTGGCTTTAACAGCACCTACCATAATCCGTATAGTAGTGGTTCATAAGGAGACTCCGCCAAGATGTTCGGCCTCTCCAAGCAAGGCTCCCACCTGCTCTCTTGATCCATACCTTATGATGGTCATCTCTTATTTCTCCTGGGGGACAAGTTGGTCTGCGAGTTGAACACTGAATTCACCTGAAGTTTCTTTTATTTCCCAACCCAGGGATACTAACCCACCAGCCTGGGGAGGGAATGTGTAGGGTTTTATTTTCTTTTTAGATGAGGGGACTATCTTGACACAAGCTGGGTTTTTATGATTGCTCTACAGTTCCTAACAGTCCTTTCCCCAGGCACTTCCTTCATTGGCTCATTCTGAGGTCCCCTCCTTAGGGATGGCCCCTGGGGGCATTTTCTGATTCATGGGGGCTGTTTGGACTAGGGGAATAGTCAAATTAAGCAATAGAAGAGATATCAGTAGCCTCCCCTTTGGCAGCCCACTGTGTGGTATCCATCCATTAGCCTCCTGGGCAGTGCCATCAGGCAGGCGGTGTAGGTTGGCTCCCAGCAACTGGGGAAGAATGATTGTTTTTTTTCCTATATTAATGTATCATTGACATACAATCTTATGAAGGTTATGCATGAGCAACATTGTGGGTACTACATTCACCCATATTATCAAGTTCCCCTGCACATCCCATTGCAGTCACTGTCCATGAGTGTGATAAGATGCTATAGTCATTACTTCTCTTCTTTGTGGTACACTGCCTTCTCTGTGACCTCCCTACATTATATATGTTAATCATAATGCCCTTTAATCCTCTTCTCCCTCCCTTCCCACCCACCCTCCCAAGCCCCTTTCCCTTTGTTAGCCTCTAGTCTCTTCTTGGAGTCTGTGAGTCTGCTGCTTTTCTGTTCCTTCAGTTTTCTTTTGTTGTTATACTCCACAAATGAGTGAAATAATTTGGTACTTGTCTTTCTCTGCCTGGCTTATTTCACTGAGCATAATACCCTCTAGCTCCATCCATGTTGTTGCAAATGGTAGGATTTGTTTTCTTCTTATGGCTGAATAATATTCCATAGTGAATATGTACCACCTCTTCTTTATCTATTCATCTACTGATGGACACTTAGGTTGCTTCATATCTTAGCTATTGTAAATAGTGCTGCAGTAAACATTGGGATGCATATGTCTTTTTGAATCTGTGATCTTGTTTTCTTCAGGTAAATTCCTGGGAGAGGAATTCCTGGGTCAAATTGTATTTCTGTTTTTAATTTTTTGATAAACCTCCCTATTGCTTTCCATAATGGTTGAACTAATTTACATTCCCACCAACAGTGTAGGAGTGTTCCCCTTTCTCTGCATCCTTGCCAGCATTTGTTGTTACTTGTCTTTTGGATGTTGGCCATCCTAACTGGTGTGAGGTGATATCTCATTGTAGTTTTAATTTGCATTTTCATGATAATTATGTGCCTGTTGGGCATCTGAATTTCTTCTTTGGAGAAGTGTCTGTTCAGATCCTCTGGCCATTCTTTTAATCGGGCTGTTTGCTTTTTGTTGTTAAGGCATGTTAGTTCTTTACATATTTTGGATGTTAACCCCTTGTCAAATATGTCATTTACAAATATATTCTCCCATATTGTTGGATTCCTTTTTGTTCTGATGGTTTCCTTTGTTGTACATAAGCTTTTTAGTTTGATGTAGTCCCATTTGTTCATTTTGCTTTTGTTTTCCTTGCCCTAGGAGATGTGTTCAGGAAAAAGTTGCTTGTGTTTATATTCAAGAGATTTTTGCCTATGTTTTCTTCTAAGAGTTTTATGGTTTCATGACTTACATTCAGGTCTTTGATCCATTTCGAGTTTGCTTTTGTACATGGAGTTAGGCAATCCAGTTTCATTCTCTTGCATGTAGCTGTCCAGTTTTGCCAAGATCAGTTGTTGAAGAGGCTGTCATTTCCCCATTGTATGTCCGTAGGTCCTTCATCATATATTAATTGACCATGTATGGTTGGGTTTATATCTGGGCTCTCTATTCTGTTCCACTGGTCTGTGGGTTTGTTCTTGTGCCAGTACCAAATTGTCTTGATTACTGTGGCTTTGTAGTAGAGCTTGAAGTTGGGGAGCATAATCCCCCCAGCTTTATTCTTCCATCTCAGGATTGCTTTGTCTATTTGGGGTCTTTGGGGTTCCATATGAAGTTTAGAACAATTTGCTCTAGTACATTGAAGAATGCTCTTGGTGGATTGACTTTTTAATGATACCATTTTATCTCCTTGATTGGTTTTATATATATATTTTTTTACAGTATGCATCTCTAAGTTATCACCAGTGATCTTTGAAGTAATAATATATAGATTCTTATATAAGAACCTTATGCTGGAACATACTATATGTAATGGTATACAAATTGATATATACTATATAAGACCCCTATATAATGTAAGAACTTTATACTCTAATACATCCAGTACTCCCCTTCTGTCCTTTCTATTGTTGATCATTTCACTTCTACATGTTTTTTAATTGCAGGGATATAATTAACAAATAAAATGGTAAGATATCTAAAGTGTACAAAGTGTGATTTGATATATGTATTCATTATGAAAGGATTCCTCCATTGGGTTAATGATCATGTCAATCACCTACATATTTAGATTCTCCCTTCCTTTTTAGGTGAGACATTTAAATTTGACTCTTTTAGCAAATTTTAATTATATAATATAGTATGATCAACTGTAGTCATTTTTACATTAGAGCCTCAGATCTTATTCATCTTAAAGCTGAAAGTTTTTATCCTTTTAAGAGTCTTAACCTTTTTTCCCACTTTTACCTTTGTTTCTGAAAGGTGTTACCATTGGATGTAAATTTATAAGCTGACAGTTGTCTTTTTGCTTTTTCTTTTGCTACTTTAAATATATTGCTCCACTATCTTCTGGTTTGTATTGTTTCTGGTGTGAAATCTCTGTCATCCTTATCTTTGTCCTTCTCTACATAATATTTTTTTTCCTCTAGTTGCTTTAAAATATTTCTTTTTATTCCTGTTTTTTAGCAGCTTGATTATGATGTGTCTTGGTGTGATTTTTCTTTGTTGATTCTACTAAAGGTTTATTGAGTTTCTTTTTTTTAATTTTTTAATTTTTTTAAATTTTGGTATCGTTAATGTACAATTACTTGAACAACATTATGGTGACTAGACTCCCCCTATTATCAAGTCCCCCACACATACCCCATTACAGTCACTGTCTATCAGTGTAATAAGATGCTATAGAATCTTTGCTTGTCTTCTCTGTGTTACTCTGCCTTTTCCATGTCCCCCCCCCGCTACATTATGTGTGCTAATCATAATATAAAAAATTTTCAGCCAGCATTTCTTCAAAAAAATATTCCTTCCCTCCCCACTGAATTCATTGCACATTCATTGGATTGTTTGAAGGTGTCCCACAGTTCACTGATGCTCTGTGCAATTTTTTTTCAAGCTTATTTCTTTCTGTGTTTATTTTAGATACTTTTTTTTTATTGTGAATTGTTGTGTCTTCAGATTCACTAGTCACTGAGTCTATATAATCTAATCTGTTTATCCAATTCAGTGTATTTTGGGTCATTTTTATATCTTTGGTTTCTCTCCTTATCACACTGATGCTTTCTTCTTCCTTCTTTAGTATATAGACTATATTTGTAATAGCCATTTCAATATATATTTCTTCTAATTTCTGTTGTTTGTGTCTTTTCTACTGATTGTATTTTCCTGTAATGAGTCAGCCTTTCCTGTTTCCTTGCATGTGTGGTAATATTAAATTGGCTCTCAGACATTGTGATTTTTATACAGTTGGATGCTGGAGTATTTTTATTCTTTAAAGTACTTTTGTGCTTTTTCTTGTACTCATTTAAGCTACTTGGAAATAGTTTGATTCTTTTTGAGGCTAGCTTTCAAACATTGCTAAGACAATCCAGAACAGCCTTTAGTCTAGAGTTAATTTGGCCACAACTTAGTCAATACCTTTCTTAAAATTTTGCCTCATATTTAGGTAGTCTTTGGCTGTATTTATTACATAATAATACATACATAAGGCTGGGAATACAGTAATTATTCCCAGCCTTATGTGGCTTAGGAGGATTGTTCTGCTTTCTCCTTATGATTTTAAAATTACCTTCTGATTTTTATATTATTCTTATAATGTGTATTTTGTAGATTATTTCAGCTTTTTTATCTTTATCAAAATATATTAAATCTATGTTATGCTAGGTTTCATGAACAACTAAATGATTATTTTAAATAGTTTCCTAACAGCCTGAAAGAATGATCATACTTGCTAAAATATGTAACACATCCAGGAGCAGGTGATGTATGCCTGGTGTCAGGCCTTTATTTGTAATAGTTATGAAGAAATTACATACATACATATTTCTCATACTAACATCCTTTTACTCTTTTCCCTGTTCTCATTCTCTAGGAAGATCATGTTGTGAATCACATGGCAGCAAAGATTATTGAAAATGTCTGTACTACCTATTCTGCTGAGGCCCAGGGTTTTATCACTGGAGAAATTGGACCTGTGTTATGGTATCTATTCAGACATTCCACTGTTGATTCTCTTAGGATAACAGCAATATCGGTAAGATGGAGCATCTTTTGGGGATTTGTCTGGGTATATTTAAACACCATGTTTGAAGAACTATGTTAGAAATAGAGTACATTTAGTTAGATAGGTAGGAAACAGAAATCTCAGAATAACTGTTGGTGAGAACAGTAACTTGATATTCCCCTAAAGGAGTATTTCAAAACTAAGGCTGGAAAATTTTGGGACTGTCAGAAAATTCCAGCAGAACCTTGTGGGATCATCATGTTATGGTTTCAAGAACTATTGGGAGCCTGTGCTGGTGGGAAACTGGTCGTGGGAAGAGCATAGGACTTGACGTGGTTTACTTTGAGTATTCCTTGGCTTTTCCTATTAGCTTCCTCTTTCAGATTTTATGTTAAATGATTTTTATCATGAGTTAATTATGAAATCATTATATGTTCAGGCACCTGAACATATAAAAACTGTATATGGTTTTTCAGTTTTTGTATTTAGATTTGGCTATATACTATGTTGCTCATCTCATTCTAATTTCTTGGTGTAAAGGCTAATTATATATGAAGATGTGTTCACATAGTTGTATCAGTATAATAGTCTGGTGAACAAATATAACCCTTTCTCATATGACTGACTTCAGTGTGCTTTCTGAGCCCCAGTCTGACGTGGATTCTCAGCGTGTATGGTGCCCTCACTGTGTCTCCCTTCATTCTCATAGTTTTCCCTGTGGCCATCTCATAAGGCTCATCCTCTTCCCTTCAGCCTCCAGCCCCACATTTTCTTCCTGCATCCTCTGTAAATGACTTTCCCCATACTTCCCAGAGAAAAATGAAGACATCCAGTGGGAATTATTTCAGTTTTCATTTGCCATGTTATAGGCCTGGATCGCAGGGATAGCAACACAGCTGCAGAGAGAGGGAAACAGATCTGAGAGATATTTATGAATTAGACTCACAGGCCAGGTAAACTAACTGGGTGTTAACAGTGAAGGGGAAGGAGTTAAGGGAAGGGAAAGTATAAAAATGACACCTAGCCCTTCATTGTCCTTAATCCACCTTCTCTCACCTTCCCCTCCCAGAGCCAGTGTGTCGGAGCCTGAGGACAGGGGCTGCGAGGGGAAAGGGAGCACTGAGCACAGGCGGCCATGGGGCAGAGGCTGGTGGCAAGGGAGCAGAGGATGGCACAGAGGAGGTGACCAGAGTGCATGGACTAAATAAATGAACTGATAGAACAAATCAGTAAATACATTAACAGTAATGAGAATCAGGTTTCTCTGTGAGATGAGGTTTACAAATGTACAATGGAAAGGCTAGAATTTGGCTGATTAAAGTATCAGATTAAAATCGGAAGTATCAGTTTTGTTTCAAATATGTACAATGATATATGTTATATTGCTATACATATGACATGTATGATATAAATGCATGTGTATGTATGGGTACATATATTTTTTCTAGCTTGGAATATATTAAGAAGGCCTAGAAACAATGACACTCCAAGGCAATAAGCACAAAGAGCACCCAGATCTCGGTTTCTAAATCAGTTTCATTGAAGAAATGGCTGATTGCAGTGCTGGTGAAGAGAGGGTACAAAATTAGCCCTGAACACTGCATGGTGTCAGAAAGGAAGGAAGTGCTCAAATAGTAATAGCAATAGATCAACAGAATACAGAAGCAGCTTGAAGGGATTGTATCAGCCAAATCTAAGATGACTTGAGCAGCTAACCAGTAAATGATAGTAGTAGTGGCACGTTGAAACCATTGACTAAGTGGGTATCCAGGACCATAATGATAGGAATACAGACATACGTGTGGGCGATGAGAAGGAGCTTCCACACGAGAGTTCCAACCGATCCCAGATGCCTGTTTCTCTACTGCTCATGAGCTGTACAGCAAGAGTGGTTTTTACACTTTTTAAGGGTTGTAGCAAACAAAACAAAAAGAATACGGAACAGAGATTGTATGCAGCCTGCAAAGCTCAAGATATTTATTATCTGGCCCTTTACAGAAAATGTTTGCCAACCTGTGATATAAAAGGAATGCACAAACAGATGATCAGCATGTGGCAACCATCACTGAGGTGCCTGGTACAGGCAAGAGCCCTCAGTGATGCTAAGGAGGTTTTGTAAGGAAGCACCAGGTAGACCCAGGTTGGGCCTCACCTACAAAATAAAAGCCCTGTATTCTTTTTTTTTTTTAAGCCCTGTATTCTTTAAAATTGTAAATGGCATAAAGTACACAGAAATACTGAGAAACTGTTTCATATTGGAGGAAAATTAAGAGATATGAAAATAATATATAACACATGACACTGAATAGGATCCTGCAGCAGGAAAAAAAAAGACATTTTTGGGACAATTGGTAAAATTTCAGTGAAAATTTTTTTTAGATGAATGCTAAGAACAAAATATAAGAAGCCCAAGATGAAAAAGTAAAGCTTAATGTGACAGATTAAGAAAGGGCCAGAAGATTTGAGACTTTGGTGAGAACAGCTGGGAAAAAATTTTGCCAAAAAATGAAACTATGCTAAGTATAAAAATGAAAATGATAACGTAAATCTAATAAAGCCACATAGATTTTTTTAAAGACCCAGGATTAAAATTAAAATGGATGCCTTAAGATTCCAAGATTCTTTGAGAAGGTTCAGTGGTATAATTTGCAACTTTCTGATGTTTTTTTCATAATTACTGATACTTACTGTATTGAGGGGTATATTTTATAATCTTGAAATCATGTGGCTCCTGAAGCAGGAATGTGTATGTGTGTGTGAGAGGTGTGTGTGTGAGAGGGATACTACATACCCTTTGCTTAACGCTGTTCATTGAGCAGGATTGCTAGCCCTTAATCTTCAAAATAACATAGGTAAATTTAAGATAAGAACTGAAAAACATCCGTAAGTATCCACAAGATTTAAGAACATGCAAGTCATTAGAGTGCTTAGCAAGGTCAGCTTTTTTACTCGGGAAACAAGGAAAAATAGGCCACTGAGTTCCTGCTGATAATAAAAGGAGGACATACAATGTAAGATCATTGTTTGGGTTTCCTAAAACAAAGTCATCTTAACAGCATAATCTTAAGATTGCATCTGCCCTGTAAGCAGATTTATATGAGGGTTTATTAACTGAGGTTACAGAAATGGAAAATATTCATTCTGAAGACACGTCACACACATTCCTAGCAGAGAATGATAGTTGCATCCTCCCTAGTATGCATTATAGAGCTAGACTTCTTCTTCCCTTCTTTTTCCAAGTTGACTTTTCACAAATATGTTCTGGAGGCTAATGTGCCCATTGGGTGCTAAAGGTCAGAATTCTTAACATGACTTTCAAGATTTGGTCCTTGCCTACCCCTTTGTCCCATCTCACAATGCTCATTTCCTCACTCGCTGTGCTTCAACCACACTTATGTTCTGACATTTTCTAGAATTTCCAAGCACTTTCCTGACTTAGGACCTTTCCCCTTTCTGGTCCTGTACCTGGGATGCTTTTCACATGGTTGAGTCCCCATCTTTCAGGTCTCATCTTAAATGTCACCTCCTCTGTTTAAAATGTCCCGGCCCCTTGAATCTCTTTGTATTTTCCCTCCTAGCAGTGAACACAACTGTGTTTGTTTAATTTAGGTATGCACGGTCATCCCCACTGGAGTGTCATTTCTAGGAAGGCAAGAGCCCTGCTCCTCTTAACCCCTCCCAGAGCACACATGGTGGGTACTCACTAGGTATCTGTTGATCAGGTGAATGCATGAGCACTGGCTGGAGGACTCTATTGCTCAGTGCCAACACACCAACCTGCTTCTTGTTCTGCTTGTAACAGGCTGTACCTGCTACCTCTGTCACTGATTTTTCTGTACTGTTTCTCCTAGCCATCTCTTGGCCCCATAGGTTCCCAGATCAGTAGCATCAGCATCATCTGGCAACCTGTTTGAATTATAGGTTTTGGGGCCTTACCCAGACCTGAATACTCAGGGTGGGGAAGGCCTAGTAATCTGTATTTTAACAGGCCTCCATGTGATTCTAATGCCCGCTGAAGTTTGAGAACCACTGCTCTAGATCTTGGAGGTCCTAGAAAACACTCGCATGGCTTGGTGTGAAGGATGACAGACACATCTCTCCTTCCCACTCAGGAGCGGCTGCATTGCTTAGAGGTTGGTGGCTGGGGGAAGTAGACCTGATTGGGAAATGTATTGGATGGATGACAAAGATTATTAGAATTACTAGGATTGCAGGGACTCTCTATATCAACCATGGTGGGAACCAGAGAAACCTGTAGAGTTGGATTGAGTAAAATGGCTCCTATAATGGAAATACTGGGGTAATAATTACCAAAGTGTAAAAAGAGGGGAATTTTCCAGGGTACTGGTTCTCACTGTGGTTGCTGAGGGCTTTTCAAGCAACACTGACCACTTGCTCTCCTCTCTACCTGGCCCTGTTCTGATGTATAAGCTCTGTCAGGGGTCAGATGAGAGTGTGTGTAGTTGAGAAAAGCTCCAAAGGTAATTTTGATATCACAAAATCATTCAAAAGACAGAAAAATGGTTCTTATACTTTTTATTCCATGGTGATTCTGTTCATATTTCTAATACATATGCAGCCTTTACTTTTGATTTTGTATATTTCTTAGAAATTGCTTTGTTAAATAGACTGTCAGAAACTCTGGAGGTAACCCAGTGTCACAGTGCTAACATTTCACTGTTGAAGTCGCTGTTGGGAGAACTCTTTATTTGCTTGAGAAATTCTGATTGGAGCATGATCTTCAGGGACTCTATTTAAAATGCTCTTATTTTTTTTTTATCCTTGGATTAAAAAAATAATTTTGTTTTGATTTTATAGACACCAGTTTTCTTTGGTAGATTATAAATAAGTTCAAAAAACTTTCACAGTTCTTTAACTAGAACCAGCTTTGTTTTTAGTGAATTCATTTTTCACATCCCTATTTTAGATATTGCTACTTTCTACTGAAACTTACACAATTTGGATTTAAGATTGTTTTCTCTAGTTTGGAAACCATGACATCTAATATCCATCTCCCTTGGAAGAAAGAGAGAGTGAAAAATATTTTTTGGGAGGTGTCAGTTTTAGTTATTTCATGGAATTTCATTCTGAAATGACTGTAAATGAATACAAATCTCTGCTGTGTGTTTGAAATAGAGTCAATGATTATTATTTTTTCCAACTTTTTTGAGATATAATTGACATACAACTGTGTAAGTGTAAGGTGCACACATGTTGATTTGACGCACGTATGTATTGCAGGATGATCACCACCATGGTGTTAGCTAACACCTTCAATCACATCACATTGCTTCCATTTCTTTCTTGTGATTAGGCCTTCTAAGATCTATTCTCTAAGCAACTTTCCTGTATATACTACAATACTTTTAACTATAATCACCATGCTGTACATTAGATTCCCAGAACTTACTGATCACAAAACTGGGAGGCTGTACACTTTGATCAACATTTCCCCATTTTCCCCAATGCCTAGCTCCTCTGGTAACCACCATTCTAGTCTCTCTTTCTATGATTCTGGCTTTTTTAGATTCCACATATAAGAGGTACCGTACTGTATTTGTCTTTCTCTTTCTGACTTGCCTCACTGAATTTAATGCCCTTGAAGTCCTTCCATGCCCTTGCAAATGGCAGGATTTCCTTATTTGTTGTGGCTGAGTAATATTCCATTGTATGTATAAACCACACCGTCTTTGTTCATTCATCCATGGATGGACACTTAGGTTGTTTCTGTATCTTGGCTAATGTGAATAGTGCTGCAGTGAGTGTGGAGGTAGAAAATCTCTGAGATCCTAGTTTCATTTGTCAATGATTGTTAAGACTTTTATAAGTCCTCAAAGGTAGTCAGTTCTATGAGGAAAGGGACATCTTTTGTTTTTAGTAAACAGTATATACTCAATAATTTTAGATATGGTAGTAAATATGTATATTATTAACAAAGTGAACTTTCCTGTCAATGCTTATTTCCACATTATTAAAAAATGTCTACCAGAGTCATGGCATTGGAATGTAATCTAAAAATTATCATAAAATAATATGCATTTATTTGAAAAATTTTAACAGTAGATGGTGGAAGACTTTTTTACCTTTTCTCTACCTCCCACTTCTCAGAACCACTCCCAAGAGACAGTGTTTAGAGATGTCCTACATTTTTATTTTTACTAGTTGCATTATCTTTTACTTTCTGGTTATATGGTTACATTAGCCTTTTCATAAAAATTGAAAGTAAAGTTTAGCATAAAGTAAAGACATTTACTTTAAACTTTTAATTTTGGTGGAAGAGATTCAGTTTTATACAATCAATACTCATTTTCTTATTTATAGCAATAACTTTTAAAGGAAGTTCATTCTTAGAGACAGAAAAGCATTTATTTATTTTTCCTGAGACTTGCAAAAAATGTAAATAATTTCTAAGTCTTTAAGCTCCTCCTTCCTTCATTTTGACACTATAATATTTCTGACAATAATCTTATATTTGATCATTTCATTCATTGATCTTTCATTTGATCTTTTCAATATTATATATATAATATATGATATTGTTTAAATCTGTTTAAAATATAAAACTTGGAGAAGCAGGTTATTGGAGATTTATTATAATGAATGTTTTTGTAAAACTATTTCTGGCTTAGGTTTATTTCTCTCTTTGTAATCTCCCATGTACATGCAGAATATAACCATCTCTTTTTTGTTTAAAATCTTTTGATGCCTTCTCATTGTTCATGGCATAAAAAGCCCTAGCCCAGTAGGCTGACTGACTGCAGGCTACTTTTCCAGATGGATCACCATATTTTCCACTCTCTGCCTCTCCTTCTGCACCTAAAGTATGTTCTAATTGCATCAGATATCTTGGCCTTCTTAGAACATGCTCTGCATCTTCATGTCTCCATGTGAATACTTGTTCTCTTCTCTCTGGCTAGAATTTTCTTTACTTTCTTTTCCACCTTATTTCCATTTCCCAATTACCTTTTAAAAACTGGCTCAATGTCATCTTTCTTATGCATGTTTTGTTGACTTTTCCTTCCTTCCAAGCATAAAAATTGAGCCTACTTCTGTTATAATGTTTATTAAAGTCTGTTACTTTATTAACTATAAGTTTCATCTCTAGTAGTCTGTGAGCAGTTTAGGAAAAGCTCAGGAGTCTGATTACCTTTGTTTGAATTTTAGCCTTACTTCTTACTAACTGTATACCTTTGGACAGGTTACTTAAATATTCTATGCTTTAGTGCTATCATCTGTATTATGGGGTTAATAATACCTGCCTTAAATGTTGTTGGGGATTTAAATCAGTCCGTCTTAAGATATTCTCAGATAGTTTAGTTCTCCACATGCTGAACAACATTGTTTTTTAACTGTTTTATCAGCCCTCAGCTTAGTGTCTGCAAAATGTTATTTTTTATTACTTAAAGGGATATTTAACAAAGGACAAATAACATGTTATTTTTTATTACTTAAAGGGACATTTTTCTGCATAAACATGAATTCGTTTGTCATTTTAGTTAACTCATTATAATGTATATGATTATTATAAGAGTCTCTAATGTTTTAAAGCAATTTTAGTTTTTATTGGTAGCTGGATTATTGTTTTATTTTTAAATGTGTTGAAAATTTTGCAACTTTCTTAGGCCAAAATGAATAATGAAGGAACAAGGTTAAGTTCCTTCTCCTTTACCCAGAAGTGTGTGTTATCTTCTGGAGCACCGTGAATGGACTTGGAGTTTGATGGATCTGTTCTCCTGTCTCCTCAGGCCTTGTGTAGAATCACTCGCCATTCTCCTACCGCCTTCCAGAATGTTATCGAGAAGGTGGGACTGAACTGTGTCATCAGCTCTCTGGCCTCTGCCGTCTGTAAAGCTCAGCAGTACATGCTCACCTTATTCACTGCTATGTTGTCTTCTGGGATTCATCTTCAGAGACTAATCCAAGAAAAGGTTTGACTTAGATTTCACCTACTACTCTACTTTAAAATTTGTTGTTGAACTGCTAAGATTGCAGGCGAAACAATATAATCTCTGAAGAGTTTATTTTTCCTCTCAGGGGGCTTTTTTGACCTTTGCCAGACCTCTGTGTCACAGGCCATTCATTTGAAGATGTTCTAAGAATCTTTCAGTGATTAAAATAGAAGTCCAGTAAATGGCTCTGCTAGCTTGTCCCATTTTAGTAATAAAAAGTTAGAAAATATATGAGTCCTTCCTAAATACTAATATTTCTTATGCTTCCCCTTCAGCCCCCATCTCCTTTCCCATATAATTTGCCTTTCTTTGGAAGGGCTTTATTATATTCTCTGCTTACTCTGACTCATTTTTGCTCCTTTCCTTGTCTAATACTCTGCCAACATAAATCACCTTTAGAGCTCACTTTGTCCTGTTTTTAGCTTAGTCTCCTTCCTTCTAATCATTTGAGACTCTTATTTTAGGTACCGTAGAGTTGGAAGGTATTAAGTTCATATCTTAAAACTGCATAGCTGTAAAGAAGACTTTATTGTTGTCCTCAGAGCATCTTCTCCGGCTGCCTGCTTAAGAGTGAGCCCTGGCCGGCAGCATTGGCATTACTGGGATGCATGTCAGAAATGCAAACTCACAGGCCCCATTCTGCTGTTCTAAATCATGGTCTACATTTCAGTGCAATCTCTAGGTGATGTGTTTGAACTTTATGGTTTGAGAAGCCCTGCCCTAGAATATTAGCATTCAGTGAAGTGTTGACAGGCGAAAAAAAGCACACCATGGTCATGTACATGTTCGGAAAGCAGTGAGTCAAAGTTAAAGAAAGATTTTCAGTTGTACAACCTTTCCTAGTGTTCTGTGTGCTCATGGGTATTATGAATCTTCATGAGAGGGAGGTAGTGTGCAGTGTTCTTTCAATTTATTTGACCAATTTCAAATTATTGGCCCAATTACCTCTTTTTAGAGGGGAGGCGTCAGTCCGACTGGAGTGTTGTAGGACATGATGAAGGCAGCGCTGTGGGAAAGTGTAGAGTGCAGCCTGTAGGTGCAGTGTTTGCTGTGGTTCTTCTGTGTTAAATTTTATAATAAAAGTTAAAATTTCAATAATTGTTATGAAGAATTCTCAGGTTTACATAGGTGACTTGATCTGTGAAAGTCAAAAATGAGGAGAAAACCACTTCTTCCCTTTATTCTGATGAGTCTGATTTCGATTCTGCTAAGTTTGAGCCTCAGAGAAAGTATTTTTTATGACACTCTGTGTACCTAATTTTTGGTATCAAATTTTCCAGGTCATTAAATGTTGTTACATTGTTTTAGAAACAATACGACAGGAATAGTTTTACTGTGAAATTGTGATCATAGAGGCTGGGTGTTTTGGCTATTCAGTTATTTTTAACTCTCAGCACAGGCACAGATTGCTTTAGTTTCAAATATGGGATTTCATAAAGGTAATAAAATAGATACATTAACTAGTATGATTTTATAATTGTTTTATAATATATAACAAATTCCCATGTATCTTAACAAAATGAATAATTGATTAAATGCATTGAATGATAGGTTAATATCATTGATTTGGTTAATATCGGAACTTAAATTTTTTTTACAATTAATATAAAATTTCTATTTTAGCTATTTTTTTTTTTTGAGAGGGCATCTCTCATATTTATTGATCAAATGGTTGTTAACAACAATAAAATTCAGTATAGGGGGGTCAACGCTCAATGCACAATCATTAATCCATCTCAAGCCTAATTCTCGTCAGTCTCCAATCTTCTGAAGCATAACGAACAAGTTCTTACATGGTGAAC